ATTCGATGATTCTAAGTAAGCGTTTGAGGTCTGGGGCCGTTATCTGGCCGCAGACACGCAGCATCTGCTCGGCTGCCTGAAACAGCCTCTTTTACCCCCCCAAAAAAGGACTATGTTTTTCAGGGACAATGAGCTTGATTGATGCTGTCCGGATCCTGGTTCACCCCATTCCCTGCCTCAAGGGAATGATAATTTCTTCATTTCTCACCAAACCGGGGGTTGCCGGCCCTGCTTAATGGGCGATACGGGAAAGATGGGGCCAGGCTCTTCTCAGGGTGCCAAGGGTGTGGGGGGTTGCTCCAGCCCCCTGACCGCAGACATCGTGTCCCCAGGGAAGGAGGAGGTGGCCATGCTTGTCATCACCTACCCAAATGCCCAAGCCTGGGATCCACCTTGACCGGTTGAAGATGTGTCCAACAAAGATGCTCATGTGCAAGCCAAGCACCCAGGGAGAGAAATAATCCCTCGTGGACCACAATGCTTTCCAGAAAAGCAGGCGGCAAGACCGTAAGTCATAGGAGGTGACTTTGGGTCTTGCTGCTTCTTTTTGTATTCATAGAAAATACCATCAGGACATGTAAGATCTAACTCATCCCCGCTCCAAACCACGCTAACCACAAGCCCTAAGACTCAGAGCTGGATCACGGGGATGAAAGGTTCAGGTATTCCTCCACTGCTGGTCCTGGGAGGCCATCGCTTGGGTTATGGTGGTGATTTTCATGCCATCAAGTGTGGAGGCAACGGTGGAGGCAACACGTGCAAAAAAAAAAAAAAGAGGGCACCAAACTGTGCATGGCCAGACCCAGGAGGTCACTCAAGGTGACAGGCAGGGTTTTCCCCAAAGTGAGAACAGGCTGCAAAAAAAGCAGTCACAGCTTCATGGTTGGGCACAGAAGTCTTTGGAAGGAGAATGAGCGCTCCCAAATCATCAAGGTTGCTGGCACTTTCTTCTTTAGCATCCAGTGTTTTCCCATCTTGAGGTTCCTCATGTTTCCCGGGGGTGGGTCTCCCACCTTTTCTTGGCAAGGAAGAGCCTGAGACCTCAGCAACCTCCCAAGGAAAGGCACTGCAAGCTGCCTCCAGCACCCTGAGGTCCATGCCCACCACTCATCAGAGACCTGCATCTTGCAGAGGGCTACGCTGGTGCAGCAGGAAGAGTGGTGCGGGTTTCCTCCACCAGCTTCACCTAACCACACCACCTCTGCCCATAAAAGCTTCCCTCCTTCTTCATCCATCGCTCACTTAGCACTCCCCTGACACCAGCGATGGAGGACGGTGGAGGTTACATCCTCCTACATTTAGGAGGAGTGGCCAGAAATAAGAGAGAATGCATGTTTCCTTTGGAAACTGCGATACTTGCACATCTGCAAAACTACTCATATTTTCTCCCACCTGGGCTGAGCTCTTGCAGACACGTGTGCTCTGCGGGACGTGCAGCACATGGCGTTAAGTCACCAGGACGAGTGGGAATAGCCTTCCATCAAAGACACCAAGCCATATATTCAGGCCGACAAAATGCTCTTAAACCAGCAGAAAACCAAGTGCCAAATTCCCCTGCAATCAAGGCAGGAGTTTTCTCCCTTTTTTTCCCTTTAAAAATGACAAATTTTGCAAGAAAACCATCCTTCAAAAAACATTTTAAAGCAAAAACGTCATCACTTCCAACTCAGCCATTGAAATAACACCTTTGGGTTGGCCACAGCAGGAGAAGCAGAAAGCTGCTGCTCGGTTAGTTGGGAGAAACTCCACTTTGATGGAGAAAAAGGGCTTTCTGCACACACGGGGCAGCAGCTTTTGCAGCTGGTTTTCTCCTCACAAGCATAAATTTATTTTTCCCAACTCAACGCTGCAATTCCCCCCATTCCCCCCTCCAACGTGCCCATTGTAAATCCAACCAGCACTGTTTGTAGTTTTCCAGGAGTGCAGCAACAGACATTTCAAGGCCACTTTGGGTCAGCTGAAGCGAAGCCGCTGTGACCTGGTGCAGGATGACTTATCCAGGTATCCTCAGCACTCCCTGTACTGAAGAAAAGGAGAAAATAATTTAAAAAGAATCTAAATTAACCTCATGGCAGAGCACAGTTTGCTTTTTTGCACTGAGTCCAGGGAGATTACTCTCAGGGGGTGATCTCCCTGTTCATGCTGTGTTGCCTTTGCAGCCTGCAAATTTGGGGTGGGAAGTCTCCTGCCCCTTCCCTTCCAGGTTTGGCTGCTCCCCTTTTTTGCGGGCTAACGCACGCCCTTGAGATGCACGT